TGGAAGGCCGTGTCGAATAATATTTCGTCGAGCGTAACGCGGCCCGGGGTGAAATACGAGGTTGCGACGAAGGGGAAGAGGTTGAAACTAAGCAGGATCGCCATGTAACGAGCGGTGCGCACGGGTCTTTCACCTGTGCTGTGAGAGGGGGTGGTATTCTGGCTTTCTATTCCCTCTCCTTCATCCCTGGATCCTATTAGGAGTGCACGCGGCGATGCACTCGTGGTCTCTAACGACCCGTGAGAGAAAACTGCAGCGGCGCGCAATGGCTGCGGCGGTGGTGGTGGCGGTTGCTCTAATCTAAAGTGAATTTCGGCACGACGTGGGCGATTTATTTTCACGATTTTTACAGCGCCCTTACCTTCCCATGACTATGGCGCAGAATATTATACGATTAATGCGTGGTCGTGAACATTTGCGATCTCGCGATCGTTCAGTCAAGATATAACGGTAAAGGTCAAGCGTTCATTTTTTTTTTAATTGAAAAAACTGAAGATTGCATCGCAATTAAAATTAATTATTCTATTTGACCTATTAGCATTTCAATATTCTTTTTTACACAGATTATATTTTTACACAGTGCGCAGAACGAAGCAAGAAAATAAAAATCTTGTCACTGATTTATCTCAATGCATTTTTAATAGAGCGAAAAATTAGTATACAGAATTTGTTTAAATTTCGAAAATTGCAACAGGGACAATTTTCATTTTAAAATAATAAAGATTTATTAATTTATCTTTTTATATTTTCGTTTTAATTATAATGAAATTAAGCTTTATTTAAATAATTTATTTAATTCTCTTCTTTTCTTCATAATCCAATATGAGAGATTTTTAAATTTTAAGTTAAATCATAACTTTATGTTAACATTAAATAATGTTCTAAAATAAATAAATCACTTTACGAATAAATAGGAAATGATAAGTAAATAAGATAATAATTTAAATAAATAATACTATAAATTAGAAGCGGTCGTGGCACAAAGCGCATAGCCAAGTTTGTTCTTAATTTAAATTGTTGAGAAAGCGGACCTTAAAAGTGCATCTTCGTGGGTAGGCTTTCTTGATTGCAATCCACGTTCAGGCGTAAGCTATGAGGAAGCGCATAGTGATAAGCTCTTAAGGAGACAGTCTACGAGACTGCCCTGTTGAGCGTTTAAGATCCACGTACGGCCACCGTAACTCTCGTGGTCGCTTCCGCCCGATAAACCCGCACAGGTGCGACGATTCGCGGGCATGCACATAGAATAGCCGGGCTTTATCGGTGGCGCAGACAATCTGAAAATGTATGCGTGCGTTGATATGTATGCTCGCGATTTACATGGATGGCAAAGCGATTGAAATATAGGGGAGCTATCTGCGTTTTGAATTTTTCATTCTACGAAATTGAATAATTATATAGGTATCGCATGAATTACCGAGAGAAGGGAAGAAGTTATCCTGACTGAAGTAATATTCTTCGCAGTAATATAAGTTCTTTACAGTGTTTTAAGACGCTAATAAAAGGCGTATTTAGATTTACGTATAAAATATTATTAAGCATCAAGATTTAGCATCGACTACACGCACATTGGTTCTTTTCTCATTTAAAGGATTCTTTATTTAAAAGATTTTTGTTTTAACACAGGTACATAAAAATCATAGGTGATCGAAGAAGACGTTGTTAATTTTACAATCTATTTTAAAATTATTATTTATCAATACACAGGAAATTTTCAATAAATTTAACACATTTCACAAACGATCCTCTCACATATTAGTGTTTATTTAACACAAGATGAATATGTTAGAAAGTAACACAAATATTATGTACAAAATTAACATTATAAACGTAACGTTGATACAGTTTGTGAGCAATTATACTTCTTTATTAAAATTAATATTTACATCATATTAAATGTTTTAATAAATCTAACATTTTATAATATGTTGAATTGATACATTTTATTCATTTATCTTAGCATCTACGTTTTGGAAAACATTATTTTTATATTATTTGTTCACTTGATCATAAATTGTATTATTTTAGCACTAAGAAATGTTGAATATTAATTTAACACAAAATAACACAATCACGCAATATGTTATATTATTAAATTGACACTTGAGTATTAAAAAATATAATTAAACACAAAATATTAACAAAGATTTGAGTGGACTGTTTCTAACGCAAATACAAAATATTCTTTACTGAACGAATTTAAAAAATCATTTCACAAAAATTACAAATGTAAATAATATTACATTTTTATGATTCACTTTGAAAGACCAAGTACGCTACACGCATCTTGCTTTTTTCTTCATAAAATATAGTATTGTTTCATTACTCGTCAATTGCTGATCTACTGCAATTATCCCATATGCTTTGCGCGAGACCGGAGCAAATCGTGTGTTCACCCATCGACCCCTTTCCAGCGGCGTCGTACGTTACATTAACGCCGTGGAATAATTTAGCAGTGAGCTACAGGTCCTGGAGCGGCCATAAAGCCGTCGTGTAATCGTTAGCGTCCTCTGTGAAACTCCTTACGTGCTGTAAAATAATAATGCAAGATCGGCCTTCGTCGAAACGGGATATAGAGCACTCACTAACGACACAAGCGCTTATCAAGTAATTTACACATTGCTAACTAGATGTCGAGCAGTTGGCATGTTTCTGTGGCTGAGATTAAAAAGAAATGTCGCTAATCAATGATTAAAGTAAAATCAATTAACGGAAAATCACATTTATTATATTTTTTATAAATTTCAAATAAATGGTAGAAACATATCAAATATATTAAAGTTAAATTTTTGATTTTGCATATTATATTAAATATGTTAATATATTAAATATATTAAAATATAAAATTATGATTATGCATAGAAATTAAATTATAATAAAATTTAAATTTATTATGAGGTGATTTATTATTTCATTCTCTCTAATGTTAACAGATTATTCAATACTTCAGAGAACATGAACCTGTATAAATTGTAAAATTGTCCGTGAAAAAAAGAATGGAATGTAAAGAATTTATTAATAATGAGATAAAACTTAACGAGTGATATACAGAGTGTCTCACAGGAAGATGTTAAAACCAACCTGTTATATTTAAATCTGTTGTATTCAATTATTACATAAAAAAAAAATTGCGTTGGGAAGAGAAAAGTCTATAATTTTTAATGTGAGTATAAATTAACATAACAGTTAACACAATCAAGAAATGGAAAAATAAAAATATGTAAAAATTAATATCGATCATTGAAGAGAATGTGACTCTAGTTAAAGTATTTTAAGGCCAAAAAGCACCGATGTATCGATACTCGCCTCGAAATGACAATTCCCATAATAAATTTGTAAAACGTGCGAATTATTGTGCGCAGTTCTTTGTCGTCGTCATCGAAAATGAGAAAAGAACGGAGTACTAGGGAGGCCAAGTATGTGCATAAATTCTGCATGGCGCGGAATACTTTTATTCCTCTGAAGCGTTCGCATGTCCACAAACGTGAGGGGATGTCGAAACGAATCGAATCGAACGTGAAGAGCGAGAGAGGAAAGTCGGCCTACCGACGAAAGAGCGGCACGTGTAAATTCCTGTGTTATTCTCTCTCTCTCTTTCTCTCTCTCTCTCTCTCTCTCTCTCTTCCCTCCTCCTTCAATTTCCTCCTTCCTCTTCTTTGGTCCCGCATGGTCCCCGATTTAAATATCAAAGGCGGCTTAAATCTGACCTATACCACGCTGAATCATGTTACCTCTATAGGTTTATAGGGGATTTACCGGCGCGCTATTCCAAGGGAAGGATCCTCGTATAGCACCGTGTTGACCGAGGCGCTAACATCGTCCAGGACAAAGGCTCGCACCAGGATTTCAGGGGAGAGGGAGAGAACAAGAGGAGGAAGAGAAGGAAAAAGAGACGAGGAAAAGGAAGAGAAGAAGGAAGGGGAGGAGAAGGAGCAGGTGAAGGAGGGAGAGAACAAGAGGAGGAAGAGAAGAAAGAGGAGAAAGAGATATATTCGTCCTTGGATCATCCTGTGAGAAATTCCTGATCCCGTGTGTGTCTGCAAACTGAATTTACATATGGCACAAGGATGCATTCAGCAATTAATCCTATGTACTAACCACATTGGTCCTATACTAGGTGTTTCGAATATATCATTGCAGTGTATTCAGCATCTCTACATCTTGACATCATAATTTGTTATTTTGACATTGTAGTATTCCATCATGCGTTTCCTTAATGTATATACGTAAAATTAATATAAAATATATAAAATAAATTTAGTTTCGTCGATAAGAGAGTACATTTCAATTGTTTGCAAATCATATTTCATCGCTTTATAAATATATTACTTGTGTACAAACAATCGCGAAAGCTCATATAGACAGTTTATTTATATTTGATTTATTCTTGAAGACAAAACTATTTTTATTTCGAAATATATAACATAGATATCATAATCATTCATATATTGCACAGATATCCACAAATGTACAGTTTATTTTCATGTAAAAATTATTTGCGAACATAATTTAAAATTTAATAAAAAATCTAATCAATCTTTCGCAATTTGATTCGCGAATAGAAAATCTTCGCACCTAGTAATTATTCGATATGCGGTATTTTTTCAAATTGATCTCCAAAATCTGTGGATGATAGTTCTATATAATATATTTTATATAATAAAGTTACTCATTCTCAGATGTGCATGTAATCGTTCGTCCGTTTTCACCTGCGGATGTCCTCGAATCGCCTACAAACACAAATAGATCTATTTGACTGATACTGATGACGGATCTTAGACAGCGCCCCAGACGCGTGCTGTGTTGAGACAAGAGTTTATACTGGAATCATATTGACAATCAATTAAGCCACTAATTAAATTCTCGAGTTAACTTACGCTCCTAGAATATTACAGATTGTACTGCGTTACTGATCCATTTCCTACTGCATGGTTTCGAGCATGATCATTCTATCTTTTCGAGTCAAGATAAATTAGATAAATACAAGTGCAATCGCCCGCAGAAACTCAATTGATAATAACTCATAATATCGATACTACTGTGATCACAATTTTTCCAACTGGCTCGTAAAGTTTGTAATTTTTATTTGTTGGAATGTATCAACTTTTTATCAAAGCGCGAGCCTTCTTCTCATTCCATTTCTGCGCTTACATGAATTCCTATGCTAATGATTAAATTATCCCGTCGTTCAAATCTAGTTAACTAATCCCAAAGGTTATTCCTTTCTAAGCCTGGCATCACTCCACACACCGTTCAGATGAAGAATTTTGGCTCGTTTAGCGCCAATCCGTAGCGCGCTGGACGTATTTTCTGCCGATGCTGTACCTTATTTGCCGATAATCACGGATCTGGATGGGTCCCCCCTCCCGGGGAGACAGGGTGATGGCTATTTTAGTGGGTGGAAAATTATACGGCGGCTTCTACAGGCTCTAAAATGGGCAGCTCTTCGGTTACGAACTATAATAATCATTTCGTCGGATGGGTTAGGGAGCAGAATAAAGGGAGGCACGAGAGGGACGTGGAGAAGCCGAAGGAGGCGGTCGGGACGAATACACAGCCGCATATGCCAGCCGTCTTCAAACCGTTCCGATGTGGTAGTCAACGTATTTACCGGCTCGTTAACGTCCCGTAGAGAGACGACGACATTCGTTCCATCCATACTCCTTCCGCCCTCCTCCTGTTGTTCTACCTTTCCAGAGACCTACGACTTCTCATATTTCCGCTCTGCTGTATTCGCAATTTGCGCCTCTAATTCTCGATGTGGTTGAGAATAAGGTCAAGTGTTTTACGCTGTAGCACGCGTCAAATAGATCCTCATTTGCTTGTAATTATGCGATTTTATTTTTCAATTATTATCGAGCATTAATTGCACGATGGTGTTCCACTTTGGTATTTTTCCAAAAATGGAGCACAATATAATTTGTATTTATAACATTGACACGTAGCATTTTGTCGTTTATTACATCTTTTATGTGTTAAATGTATGTAGATGTTATAAAAATATTAAACCCAAAAAATTTACTCTTCATTAAAGGACTCCGCACTAATTGTACAGAAAATTGGATTTCAGTGAAATGAGTTAGTTTCATATATAATTTAATTTAATGTGGTGAACAAAAGATATCATAGAGTCAATAATGAAGTTTTTGACTTATGATATCAAAGATGTCAACTTGTACTCACAGAATTTGATATATGTTTCAAAAATAAGCTACATTATATGTGAAAACTTTATTTTACTGGGATCCAATTTTCGTACAATTGGTACAATTAGTAAGGACAGAGTCCTTTACTCTTTCCAAGGCTTGAAAAATATATTGTGCAATATTTTAATTGATAAATAAAAAAATGAAGGAACCGATTCTCTGTAACTATGTAATTTATAGACAATAATAGCAAGCTTGCAATATTTTCATTAAAATCCGCTTTTTTTTTTCTTTCATAGGGACGATTCATCGTTTAATCCCCGTCGATCCACCATCGTGGCAGTAATTCGACCGGCGGAGGCAACAGCGGAGCTCGAATAAGAGCGACGCGGAAATCGGGAAAAAGAGGAGGCAGCGCGCGTCAATAAAGAAGTCGAAAATTTACGACCGCGCTTGTCGCCGTCCGAGATTGCCCCGTCGTAATGTCACCGCCATTCTCGACGCCCCATCCCCGACGAATTCGTCCCGCGGGACGTACCGGCACCGTCGCGAATATCTACGACCTTTTTATCGCCGCGCTTTCGCGCCATCCTGAAATCGAAACAAACTCCTTTCCGCGTGACTTCTCCCTCATCACCGGCTGTTCCCGACTCATGTAGGGACAGGGACAATGAATACTTCCAGCTTTACCTTCTCTTGATTATCGCGCCGATCCGTTTACTTTGACGTTTATCCCTTTGTCCGTTCCTTCCTTATTATCAAGCTTATTACCTTCATCTTTATTATTCTGCATCAAGTTGTCTCTCCTTTATTTCTTTATCTCAAATAAAATAAAATTTCGCGATGTATACGTGATTTATCGATCAAGCAGGAAACTCTTATTTTTTTATATGCTCATATTTTGCGCATGTTATCTTACATCCTTATGAATTTGAATTAAAGATCATATCTTGAGCAAAATATAATTTCGCAAGATGACAGATTAGCGATAGTATTTTGTATCTTCTTTTTTTTTTCAAAGGCAGCTTCTCTACTACCCATATCTTCGCCCATTCGCCACTGATCGCGCGGAGGACGAAAGAAGATACTAGCCAGAGCTGACGAGGATGGACGGGGGAGATCGAAAAGGGTGAAAGAGAGAGGATTTCGGCTAGTGGACCAGGAGAAGCGAACAAGAGAAGCGACGGTGGCAAGGGGCAGGCAAGAGGTGGGAAAGGGACGAGGAACGACCGAAAGTGGGCAGTGTGTAATTTTGCGCCGGCTTAGGAAAACACGGCGGCCACCCGCGCGTTTCGCGAGCGACGAGGATTTAAAAATAGAAGGCTGGAGGATGGCGGAGGGACGCATGCCGATCGCGCCGTCGGCCACCTTGTTCTCCATTCG